GAGTGTAAGCTTGTACAGCTACATAGAGAATGACTGTTATCCTTGTACGCTGTCCTTGAGTTGTGCTGCTGAGTGTTGTTTTGTTATTCTTGGAAAACTACCTTGATTGGCTGTTTGGTGATAACTCTGAGTAGAAACTGCTAATTTAGGTCACAGTCTTGTGGGTAGTGAGAAAAAACGGGGTTTAATTTCTTTTCATCAAATTTGAGTTGTATCTGCCATTTTATAAGTAGCCACTCAGCAGTATGAGGTCTTTCTATAGGCCTTTTCACTGGGCTTCAGATGCACCTCTCCTAAGTAAATTTGTATTGGTGCTAGCAAACTTTGTAATCAGTTGTTATCATTTTGGGAATCACTTATGAAAATGCTGGATAGCATAAGCCTCAAAACATGTGGCTGTAGGATTCATCTGTGCAAAATCAGGCAGTTGCTTACTGTCTTCTAAATTCTTAATGCACATGAGGGCTGGTCCCATGATCCAGTGATCTTTTGGTTTCTCTAAAAGCCCTAGTTGGAAAGCTTTGGGAAATTGAGTGCATTGGGTAAACCATGTTCTTTTTATATGGATATTGGTCAACTCCTTAAATAAAGTTAATGGCCAAGTGATACCTGATTTCCTTTGCAGAGAAATACATTCAGTTTATTTGTCTGTCTAGTTAACAGCTTCTCTATATGGCAGGTAGACATAGTGGTCAGAAATATGCCAGTATTTCTTAAAGTACTTACTAGCACATTGGGAGTCGTAATTGCTGTGATATATACATGATTACAATGCCTCTTTCTTTTGGAGATGGTAAAGGGGATTTTGGCTGTATATATAATTTACTGAATATATATTTAATTCATTTTTATACATACACATATTGTAGGGCCAGAAAAAATTTAATTGTCTTTGACATAGAAGATACTGCTGCTGCATCTTCTTTTGGAGGACCAATGCATAAAAGAGGGAAAACAGGCAACAGTTGCAGAGGTCTTAATTCAGGCTGTTTCATTGTTTGGTATATTCCTACCATGGCCTGATTGCTAGGTTGTTTTTTGTCTTCTTGTGTTTTACTGAGCTGAGGATGCATCCAAGAGTAGATTATTTGGAACACCAAATGGGATTTAGTTATCTGTGCCTTAGTCCCACAATACAGGGACATAACAGTGTTGCTGTCATGGCTGAATCAGTGCCCAAGTAGAGCAGTAGGACTGGCATCATTATGCACTGCAAAATCGAGAACAAGTGGGATCAGGAATTCTTGAAGCCAGTGTTGCTGGAAAAGTGTTAATATATGCAACTGTCATAATGCTGTCATTATGATCAGTGGGGAACTGGAATTATTATAATTCTTGCTCAAATCTGTTTTGAAGCCAGTAAAGCTATTGACCTTTGGGATATACTGCAAAGCTCTTCAACTTGCTCAGACTTCTGAAGAGATCTAATGTGTTTTTTCTCCTGTAGTAATCAGGATTTCTTTCTTCAGATTGTCACGATTTGTGGCTGACAGATCTGTTAATTGTAATTCCATGCTATTGTAATTCCTTGCTGTTGAATCATTGTACTTACAGGCTTGTCAAATCCCTTTGAAGCTAGAGATTGTTGTTGAATGAAGACAGAGTGGTATTATGTGTTGTCTGTTGTTGGGTTTTGGGGTTTGGTTTTTTTTTTTCAATTTATTGGAAATACTCAGTATTGTATTTCATTACACTAAAAAGACACTGCCATGTAATTACAGCTTGTGGTGGTTGAACTTGGCTGACCATCAGGTGCCCACCAAGCTGCTCTATCACACACCCTCTCCCCAAGAGGATGGGGGAAGTGATACAATGTATCAAGTTAAGGACAGGGAGATCACTTACTAATTACTGTTATGGGCAAACCAGACTCAACTTAGGGAAATTGATTTAATTCATTGCAAATTCATACCAGAGTAGGGTAGTGAGAAATACGAACAAAACTAAAAATGCCTTCCCCGTCATCCCTTCCCTTCTCCCAGGTTCAACTTCACTCCTGACTCCACCTCCGCCCTCTGAGCTGCATAGGGGGATGGGGAATGGGGACTGTGATCAGTTCATCACATGTTGTCTCTGCTCTCTTTCCTCCTTAGGGGAAGACTCCTCACACTCTTCCCCTGCTCCAGCATGGGGTCCCTCCCATGGGGGACAGTCCTCCACAAACTTTTCCAACATGGGTCCTTCCCACAGGCTGCAGTTCTTCATGAACTGCTCCAGCGTGGGTCCCTCATGGGGTCCCAGGTCCTGCCAGCAAACCTGCTCCAGTGTGGGCTTCTCTTCAGAGGCCACAGCTCCTCCTGGGAGCCTGTTATAGCATGGGCTGTCCGCAGGCTGCAGCTTCTTTCGGGTCACATCTGTCTGTTCTGGTATGGGGTCCTCCACAAATTGCAGTGTGGGTATCTGCTCCTCCAGGGACTTCCATGGACTGCAGGGGGACAACTTCTGTCACCATGATCTTCTCCAGGGGCTGCAGGGGAACCTCAGCTCCAGCACCTGCAGCATCTCCTCCCCTCCTTCACTGACCTTGCTGTATGCAGAGCTGTTTCTCTCACATTTTTCTTACTTTTTTCGCACAGCTGCTGTGCAATGTTTTTTACCCTTCCTTAAATATGTTATCACAGAGGCGCCAGCTTTGGTGGAACAAAGTTTTGTAGCTAACTGGAACTCTATTCAGCATGAGGGCAGCTTCTGCTGTCTCCTCGCAGAAGCCACCCCTGAAACCTCCCCCAGATATCAAAACCTTGTCACTATACCCAGTACACAGCTGTAGCTCATAGAGGGAAAATTTGTGGTGCAACTGCAGCTTTAGCTCTGGAAGTTTCAGATAATAAGTTCGGAATGACTGCCCACAGAGTAAATTGTGGATTACTGAATTGGTACATATATATTACATCTTGTCCCTGAAAACTGTCTGTAATGCTTCTGTAACTAGATATGGAAAGTGGAGAAAGGGCCAGACGGAAAAGCAATTGTGGAATTCTTGTCCAACCTTGCCCGCCATACCAAAGCAGTAAATGTTGTGCGCTTCTCTCCAAGTGGTGAGATCCTAGCATCTGGAGGAGATGGTGAGAACTCCTTTTCATGTGTCTTATGTGAGAGAATTGTAATGTTGAGCTAAATGTAATGCATTAATGAACTGGTGACTGGGAAAGAGAGAAGCTTCATATGATTTCTTCTACAGATGCTGTTATTTTATTGTGGAAGCTGAATGATAGCAAAGAATTGGAACCATTGGTTTTTCAGGAAGAAGATGAAGCTCAGCTCAACAAGGAGAACTGGGCAGTCGTTAAAACTTTAAGGTAGCTTAATATTTTATCAGCTTTTCTATTCAGTGTTTGTGATTCTCCAGTGGGTTTTATCATCTGGTATAGACTTCTGTTCAGTGGATGCAGAACTTCAATGCTCTCTGATATTTTCTTGCTGTAATGCTCATCCTTTTACTGTATTATATAATTTTTATTTTTTTGATACAGCGCCAACCTCTGTCTTCTCTTAAGGCAGATTTGGCATTTGTGTGACTTAACTGATGTGCTCTGAAATTGGTTCCTGAGGTTTGCAGTCACTTAAAGCTTAGCACGGAGATATATAAAGTAAATGTGGAGGTTTATTTACTAGCTTTATAGTGGAAATTTTGATCATTATTAAAGCAAAAAGTGTCAGTAGATAAAATGCTTCATGCAATTTTGCCAGACAATAGCTGAGGGTTGACCAATCTTTTTCAACTAATTCACTTTAGTAGTTGAAAATCTACTGCATTATACAGCTTTTGTTTCAAGTGTGTGATGATTAATAAAATATACACACTGTGCCTGCCAATTATTAATTATTAACTGATAATGGTAAGGCATCAAACCACCACTGGCAGGTGAATTACAACAGTGTTCTGTTCTCACTCTCAGCTGAAGCCTGAAAGAAATTAGTGGTTCTGGACTCAGAAATGCATTTTGAATGAGCAGTGTGTAAGACACTGCCTTGCTTTCTGTGTAGTATCTGTTAAAAGTTTTGGTGTCTACCTGTCATTACAAATTTACATTTGATTAAAAAAAAAAAAAAGAAAGGTAACTCTGCTATCCACAACTGATACATTCCTTGCAACTGCTGAGGTTTAAACTGTGAGAACAGTTTTAAAAGTGCTAGTGGGATTGCTTGAAGCACCAGTTGTGATCCTTTAGCAACATTAGAATTAATCTCTTAAAGCAAACAAACCAAGTCTCCCTTACCTAAAGCTGATGTTACAAATATTTATTATTGAAGTTACCACACTGTATGATAACTCTTCAAACAACAAGAAATAAAAATTGTTTTGATGGAGTCCTTCTAGGTGCTTCTGAATATGTTGAAATGTTTGTTCAAGTGTATCTAAAGTAGTCTTAACTTTCCATGTTTCCGCTGAGTGTGCATGTTTATTTACTGCTTTTTTGAAACCCATAAATATGCAGGAAAGTTTTCTTGAATGGCAACACTTCCTAATTGCTTTGGTGTAGTATTTTATTTCCTGTTTGTACAAATCCTAGAAATGTTTGTTTCTAGATTTCTAGATATAAATTCATAAATGACTTCAAATGTGGGATTTTCATGATCTTTGAAAAAGACCTCTTTAAAAGGCAGGCTTATTTTGAATAGTAGGATGGCTTTTTTAAAATGTTCTTCTACCTTCTGCACGTGGAAGTGTTTTTTAAAAGCTGAAGGTCATGCTGTTCATTTTACTTCAGTGGTGCTTGATTTGCCTCTGATTGCTTTTAACCTAAAAATGCATAAAAATCATGTTTACACGTAGCTGTTAATTTCTTGATTAAAAATTGGTTTCTTCTCTTCTGGCTTCAAGAGGCCACTTAGAAGATGTATATGATATCTGTTGGACCTCAGATGGAAATTACATGGCGTCTGCTTCTGTAGATAACACAGCTATAATGTGGGATGTCAATAAAGGTAAATGCTACATTTTATCACTTGTGTGTCTTCAGTCCTGATGGAAGTGCCTCAGGGTATTTACCAAAAGAGTTGAAAGTGTCTTTTTTTTGTGATTGCTAGATTTCTAGTACTGTGAGGCACATAGCCTAGCACATAGAGATACCCTCAGGCCAGCAAAACTTACACATAAGTAATCTCTTCACCTTGGAGTATTTGGAAATAAACCACCCAATTTCCCCCTAAAATAAACTCCTACACAATCCAATAATATAAACTCCTACACAAGCATTTTGGATATTAATTACTCCACTCCTCACCCGTACAAAGAAACAAAACTTCACAGGTATCAGGTAACTACCTACCTACGTAAAAAATGGGAAGTGAGTATAGGATGAAGGCTTTAGATACGCCTTTTTTTTTTTTGTTAGGCTACATTAGGCAAAACACTTCTCTTCATTCTCATCCTACTGCAGTGAGATTGCTTGTATTTTCCAGCAAAGGCCCATCTATAGAAGTTCTGGTAGTAACAGCTAGGTTAGGTTGCTTTACAATGGCTTGATGTTTTCTTATTAGCAGTCTAATTGTTACTTTCACTTTAATGTGGAAATACTTAACTTTCTCTAAAGTTAATCTTTTATCTCACATTTCTAATATTTAGTGTCTAATTAAGAAAAATAAAGTAGAATACAGGTTAACTTTTCAGTGCACACACACATGAAAATACAAATGTTCCACTGCTGACATTCTGTGTTCTTGGTTTGGATGTTTAATGTCTCTCCTATCTAAACTGTTATATATACTCCTTTCCATATGTCTTTAATAAATACATGAATATTAATTTAAGAGAGCGTGTGCTTAGAGTATATGTGTAGTGGCATTGTGACCGAATGTCTGTTGCATCTCAGACCGCTAGTAACAACTTTAAAGGCACATATCTATTAGAATTATTACTAAAAAAAAAAAGCTGAATAGCCTTTTCAGCTGATATATTATTTATGTGTAATGTCTTCCATTCTCACCACTTTCGTTTAGCAAGCAGTTAATGCTATAGAGGGCATTTTGTGTCTTGTAGGCAGAGAGACAACTAGAAAATTAGAAGTAAGCAGCTATTACTGGAATATGTAGGCTCTGTGATTGGAAATTGTAGGTACATGAAAGGAAAGAGTTTCAAAGCTACCTTCCAGTGATACCCAGGCTAAAAACTTGCATAATTTTTTAAAAAATGGCTGAAAGAAAATTCAGTACAAAGAGAGCATCACTGGCTTAAGTCCTTGAGGTGCAAACTGTTGGTAGCTTACAGACTATCCTGTAGAAATATCATTATGTGTTTGCTCTGTTCTTACAGTCTTCCTTAGGCATTTATTGTTGGCCACTGTTAGAGACAGAATACTGCACCAGAAGGACTTCGGGTATTATGCAGCATGTCCTTGACTCTTATCTGTGTAATCTTTTCAGAAAAAGCTGTTTTTGAAACTTGCATGTTTATACTGTTTCCTTGCAACAAAGCAACTAACAGGAAAAAAACCCCACCTGTCACTGGTATTCAAAACAAAGTGTTTAAAGAGAATTATCTGTAATTTTACCTTATCACAATGCTTTGGATCTGAGACATTCAAATGTGGAACATCAGTAGAGTCAGAGAGCTCATGCCTTGGAGACTTCTTCATGACACAATAAGCTGTGGAAGAAAGTGAGTTAGCACTTCCACAGAATTGTTTCTGAAAGCTGCTCCTGTGTAAGAGTCAGTCAGCATGTGTGTAGTATATTTTGTTCAGTGCCCGCTCAGCAGAGTAGATGAGTTTTTACAGCTCCCCAGCTGTAAGTTATAGAATCATAGAATGGTTTGGGTTGGAAAGGACCTTAAGATCATCTAGTTCCAACCCCCCTGCCATGAGCAGGGATACCTCACACTAAACTATGTCACCCAAGGCTCTGTCCAACCTGGCCTTGAACACCACCAGGGATGGAGCATTCACAGCTTCCTTGGGCAACCCATTCCAGTGCCTCACCACCCTCACTGTAAAGAACTTCTTCCTTATATCTAACCTAAACTTCCCCTGTTTAAGTTTAAAGCCATTACCCCTTGTCCTACCACTACAGTCCCTGATGAAGAGTCCCTCCCCAACATCTTTATAGGCCCCCTTCAGATACTATGTTTTAATGCAGGAATTTTTGGCTCAGTGTTCAGCCAAATTCAATTAGCTGTTGAACAGTATTCTAGACCCGCCTGAAAAGTTTTTTTCTAAATGACAGAGATTTTTAAATACTTCTGTTTTGAAATATACTTATCTTGCATGTTTAAAGCCTAAGCCAAACTGCTTATCTGAGTAAGTTTGTAGGGAACAGGCCTTAAACTGGCATGTCACAATTTACTGTACTTGTGAAGATTCTAGAAATAAAGCAACTATTTCTGATATTCCTATCAGGTACTATCAAGTTTACAGTTTGCTTAAAAAGTGTTTTCTCTACATGTTTAAATGTTTTGTTTTATCTCATGATATGAAGAAATGTTTTAAAACACATTTGATTTTAGAATCTGAAAACTTTGTAATTGCAGGACAGAAGGTTTCAATATTAAATGAACACAAGAGTTATGTCCAAGGAATAACATGGGATCCTTTAGGCCAGTACATTACAACTCTGAGTTGTGATAGGTGAGCTATTGGTCTATGTGTTTTGCTTTAGTATTCTTTCTTACTTGAGGATGAATTAAAAGCAAGTGTACAAGATAAATCTTTTAGCTTTGTTCAGATTGTTCCTGAAGAAATTTGATGCGAAAGTAAAATGATACTTTAGTTAATCTTTTGCTTACGGTAAATAATTCCTGAAGTCTGAGTGTTGTCTCTAAGCAGCAAATACGATTATGTAAACTTCTGTAGAAATTTTTCTTCACAAAATAAGCTGTTATGAGTTTGATCATCATAGATACCAAATACTTCTTAGGAGAGTACTGCATTCTCTGGTTGTTAATGATCTAGTAAGTTAATCCTTGTCGTTTTACAGAAGGATATAAACAGGTTAAGAAATAAGTTAAAATTGTTTTCTACTGGTATCTTTCTTTCGCCCTCTCCCTCCCTTCCATCCCCAACAGTTTTGTAAGTGATGTCATCAGGAAAGCTAAATGCACATTTCATGAACTTGGCCCTTATCAGAACTTTGAGTAAGCTTAAACTTTAGGGCGTGTGTGCTGCTCTGAAGGGGTTCACCGCTGGCTAATAGATGCATGTCATCTGGCACCCACTGCAAAGAAAATTGCTGTAATAATAAAAAAGTAGTTTTTATTTAAGATTTGCAGTAGGGTCAGAAAAATGGTAAATTGATGTCAACTAGGTCATTATGAGCCTCAGTCTTCTGATAATCTGTTGTGTGAGATTTATGTGCTTTTATTAAAATGAACAGCAGTGAAACACAAGTAATAGAATGCTGCACAAGATTTTTCTTGGATTGAAGGTCAGAGAGCAGTTGGGTTCTCTTAGGCTGCCTGCTGTTTTAGTGAGATGAAGTCAGGGAGTTCCAGTGTTCTGTGCAGAGACGTAGTCCAGTTTATGTTTATGCCAAAGGAAACCAAAGCTTAGAGATGTAGCTAATTGTCTTTGAGGTGAGTTTCCACTCCGCAGAAACATACTGGTTACTACAGCAGAGGTAGGAATGGGGTGGCAGTTCACTGTCCGCTAATTTCCTCATTCCTCCATGAATGCATAAGCTGCTACTTCACAAACCTTATTGAGTCAAATAATTGCCAATGATGCCTTGGTTATTTATCCATCAAAAGATGTCCCTCTGGTAGTGTCTCATGAACAGTTATAATTAGTGATTGTCATTTATATTTGACGGTTCTGACTGAGAAGTGAGGTCCTGCAGTGTTGTGTGAAACCTGGGGGGAAAGGAAGCTGTTCCTAGCTAACTGTGCTCTCTGTCATGTAGGGTCCTCCGGGTATACAACACACAGACCAAGCGTGTAGCATTCAATATTACCAAGATCGTATCTGGATCGGGAGCTGAAGGAGAGGTACGTTGTTCTGCTACTAATGGTTCTGGAGAACATGTTGGGTGCTGTATTATATGAGTTGTTCTTTTCTGTGAAACCAAAGGCACTAATGTTTTCCATTCAGGTAATCTGTGTATCAGATATTTTTGTCTCTATCTCATCTTTGCATTTTATAGGTAGAGTCCCATTCAAGTTTCCTGGAGCATTACAGAAATTACTAGGAAAGCACACTGCCTGCTGCTGTTGATCTCTTGCAAGTTCAGCGGTTTAAAGTAGTAACAAAATGTCCTTGTAAATGTTAAAAATAGTGTGGAAAAATACTGTGTATAGTGAATTCTTATAGGAAAAGCTTGAAATATGTCTTGCAGAAGCTGCAAGTTTATTAAGGTATATGACATGGCAATATTTTAAACTCAGCAGCCTGAAGTTTTTGGGAAAGGTAGTTGGATTTTTAGGAAAAATATGAATTGGGGAAAATTTAGGAAATTGTGTCTTACTCAAGGAGGAAAACAGAGAGCTTTTTCCTCCAGAACAGTTTTAAGTAACAATAAAAAACACCACCAAGCTGGCTATAACTTTTTTAATTCTTTCTTTTCCTTTTCTCTTTTTTATGAAAACATTGTCACAGTTTTATAGAGACTAAAGAACAGGCCTGAGAGAGGGCATTTTGCCATTATAGAAGTTCTCTTTAAACCAATAATACTAGAGTTAAAACTAAATGCTTAAGGAACAGGCTTTTATGTTGACTGTTAAAAAATGTTGTTTTCCAGGTCGCTACTATTTTTTGATCACTGGTCTAATATGACTGCTCTTGGGGTGTTTTGATTAGTAGCTGAAGAGGGATCAAGGACTATTTTTCTTAGTGAAGAATTTATAGCACAGCAGAAAGTGAGTTTGAAGGAGCCAATGTTTTTTAAAACTTTCTTTTATTTTAAAAGTTCCATTGAGTTGGACTGTACAACTGGATGGCTTTTCTCACTTGAATCCCAACTGACACGTTCACAGCGTTTACACAATCTATTTTCAATGTTACAGGCTAGGAGCTATCGGATGTTTCACGATGACAGCATGAAGTCATTTTTCCGCAGGCTCAGTTTTACTCCTGATGGCTCCTATTTACTCACTCCGGGTATGTGAGAACATAGGCTAAAACTTATATTGTATCTATTATGCTCTAGTTTGAACATGCATCAGGATTGGTTTCAAACTGCTAGGAAATGCTTATTTATCTTAATTAAGCCATTCCTCAATCTTCCTATTGAAGAAAATAGAGACTCCACAGTACTCTCCTGTTAGCAGTCCAGAATGTCAACTTTCTCCTATGATAAAAATCATATTTATGGCATTTCTCTGAACTGGAACATGTAAATTGCAATAATACAGCTCTTTTAAAATAGAAATGAAGACTAATGAGTCATTTCTTTTGACTGGTCTCTCTTTGTTTGTATCCTTTCTTAAAAACACTGCAGTCATAGTAAAAATAACATTGCAAGGAGGGGATCAGTTTGCCCGTGTAAGCATTGCTTTTATAGATGTCTGGCAACATCAAAAAGAAGCTTTGAGGGGGAAGTATATAAGGGAAACAAAAACAGCGCTAAATAAATATTTGGGATATTTTTAAGCTGTGTTCAGGTTGTACAGCTCTTGCCCAGCTGACAAGCGTAGTTCCTGAGAAGTAGAATGTTTATGGACATAAAGTGTGTACCCAGTACTCTTCTGAGTTTATGAGTAATATTTTAACCTTTATTTTTGCAGCTGGCTGTGTCGAATCAGGAGAAAATGTAACAAACACCACGTATGTTTTCTCCAGAAACAATCTTAAAAGGTAGAGATTAATAAGTCGAAAATATCTTTTTATGAAAGAAATAAAATTGCAATGTTGGTTTTTAAAATACTGATTCTTTATAAAAGGCCTGTGGGTCACCTGCCATGTCCTGGAAAAGCAACTCTTGCTGTTCGCTGCTGCCCAGTCTACTTTGAGTTGAGACGAGCATTTAATAAAGGTACTGTAAATCCTTTAGGGAGTATGATTTTACAGCAAATATGAGAAGAGGCCAATGTGGCTGTTTACCATTTTATGCCCTAGCCTTTTAACGTTCCATTAAGATAGTGTTGTACCACATCTTAGAAGCTGTTTCCTGACTCTAAGACCCTGAATTCACCTTAAGTACCTTATGAGTAGCTTTTGATATAACGGATAAATGTTCTTCCTTAGCCTCTTGGGCTACAGTAACACTGTTTAATATTAAACTTTTAACTACTGTGTGTAAGTAAAAGTAAATAACTTGGCTTAGCACTAAAGGAGTGACCCACTGAAATATTTTCTGTTAGTCTCAACTACCCACATCACAGAAGCACAAAGAGCTGGTGTAGTTTGCAACAACCATTGATGTTTATTCAAGAAAGCCAAACCCAAAGCAGTGCTGGTATTATTGGCCAGAACAGGAGTTCTGAGAAGGGGAAAGGTTTGTATGAAGTTGCATGAGAACTTAGCTGGAGATTGAAATCCAGCCTTATTGTGAGTCCAGTGAGTCCAGGAGTGTTTATATTTAAGAAGACTGGTCTTTGATCAAAAAGCAGAGCTTTGCTTCCTTCTTTACAGGGTCATTTTCTTGCATTCCTTACAGGATTTAGAGATTACCAGTTGTTGCGTTCTCTATTTTCATCATAATATTTAGATTCGTTGTAACGGTGTGTTGCGAAGTCAGGAGGTGAGTGTCTGCTGTAGGCCTATGTGGCACCTCTAAACGGAATGTTTAGTTTCTGCAACATATACCCAGAAAAGTGAAAATCTCTGGTAGCCTAGAAATCTAGAGATGTGAGTACCTTACATTATGTTAATGTTAGTGGCCTTAGTGCATGCCTTCCATAATCATCACAGAACTGAACAGGAGCCCTATATACTGGAAATTTCTGAAATCAGCTAGCATGCATGCAGCATCCACTGGAAGTTGGAATAATGTGGCCTTACGAAGAACTACTGTTGCAATGAAAAGACTAGCTAGGAGCTGAACCCAGGATAACACAAATAGAGCTAAATCCATTGTTTCGACTGAGTTGTACAGAATATAACATGGTGGTATAAATTTATTGTGACCTTAATTTACACTATATTCTAAGGTGTGTTTGTTCGGACTTTACTGTTAAAGTTGTTATGAATATACTGAAAAATTCCAGCTGAAATATATATGACAAACTTTACAAAACAAAGTAATAAGAATCTCTATGGATAAAGCTTCTTCTGATTTCTCTCTTTTAAGACAATAAAGGACAAACTTCAGACAAGAGAAATGATAGTACTTGACATTAAACTTTACTTTCTGTAGAAGTGCTATTTTCTGAGTCATTATCTTGATACTGATTAATAATGTAATCTTTAGGTTCATGACTAAGCTACTGCAGTTACTACCTTGCAATGAATGCAAAAAAGAATTCTCATTGTGTTCATTTCTTTGCATTCTAGATGAAATTGGTCAGAATTCATCTCCTGCTCTGTTTAATCTGCCCTATCGACTGGTGTTTGCTGTTGCTTCAGAAGATTCTGTGCTTTTTTATGATACTGAGCAGTCATTCCCATTTGGTTATGTTTCTAACATACATTATCACACCCTGAGTGACATTTCATGGTAGGCAATTATTATATTCCTAAGTTTTGGTGTGATGGGGGAAATGTCCTTTTTGTGTGTTGAAGTTCTGCACATCTTGTGTCTTGTATTTTTGTTTCCTTTATGATGTACATGTGGTCACTGTCATTGCAGTGTCTGAACAGCAAGTCACTTCTGTTTTTCCCTGTAAACCAGAGAACTGTGGTTCTTTATCAGTTGGGAAACTAGATGCAAAGGCTGGGGACAAGCAGATGGAAATTTTTATGAAAGCTAGTGTTCTAAGTGCCCATGGAAAGCACTCATTGTTCAGGCAGTGTAACTGGTAATAATGGAGTTATTTGGAGTTTTTGGAAGCCATCTCTTTGAGTTCAGATGTCTTTATCCTGACCAAATTCTGCTTTATCAGGACAATTCTGCTCAGTGGTTCTTCAGGTATGGGATGAAATAATTCATCTGACTTGATGTGGGGGGTTCAGAACTGAAGCTGAAAATTGAACCCAAGTCTTATAATTGGGATACACCCCTCTGCTGGACAAGGCTTCTTTTTGCATGCTTTTCTAGCAAGTATAACTAAGCTGAGGACCACATGGAAGCCTCTCTTTCAGATTTGTAATGGATGCTCAGGCACTGTGAAAATCGTGGTGTGTCAGGAAGATGGGAGTGGAAGAGAACAGAAAATCAAGTGTTTTTAATCAGTGATAGATAGACATTACTTGGTGAAATAAGCATGAAGAGCCCATTCAGGTGAGCGCCATGGTGATTTGAGCATTGCCTCTTCTTAGTGCTAGGAGCAGAGCCAAAGAGCTTGAATTGCTTGCTGGTCTGAGTGAGGAGAGTTCAGCAATGATTCAGAAGCTGTGATTAAAAATTTGTGTACCTGTACATACAGGTACTGGCAGCAGCCTGTTGTGGGTGATCACAGATGGCACCAGAGAGATTAGGTCAGATGCAAAAGCCAGAATTGAAGATCTTTGTTCACTCAAGTTAGATGTCTTTCACATGACTGCAGTTTTGTTTAAATGTGTACATGTATTTGGGGATGAGAGGAGGAAGAGACAGGTACAGCATGTGTTACAGGTACAGGCATGAGGATTGAAGAAATTTTCTGACTTTTAATGGGGAAAAAAAATCCCCAATAGGTCCAGCGATGGAGCCTTTCTTGCTATCTCTTCCATGGATGGATACTGTTCATTTGTTACCTTTGAGAAGGATGAACTTGGAATACCACTGAAGGAGAAGCCACAGATAAATGTCAAGACTTCTGGTGTAACAGAGAAGAAAGTGAAAAAGAGCCAGCCACACAAAGTCATTTCCCCAGGTTCTAGGCTGACAGAGGGGACTCCTCCCAGCAGGGTCACTGATCCCAGCACTCTCGCTCTCCAACCTAGAACACCCACCGCTGCTGGTAAGGACTTGCCTTCCACACCTGTTGTCGTAAAAAACGTTCCAGTCTCATCCTCAGATGAGAAGAAAATTAGCCAGTCAGCCAGCCAGAGTGCTAAAGCAAACCAGCCAAGGAGAATTACTCTCAACACTTTACAAGCATGGAGCAAGACGCCAAGGTGAGATTTTTATTGCCATTTCCAGTTATAAATATGAAGGCCAAGACAAGCTGTGCTTGTGCTACTTTTAAAGGTTGAGGTTTAGACATAAATTCCCTGTGTCCTGGTGATAGCTCTCTTGACATGGCATTTTTTGTTCCTGTCATACTGCAACTGGAAGGTCAGAATGTCTCCTGAATCCTAATTTTATATTTCTGTCTGAAATGTGAGGCAGTAGCAAAGTTTACCTGACCCATATGCCTTGTCCATATGGCAGTAACAGGTGTCTGTCTTCAGGTCCCATTTTCAGTACGAGGATGGTACCTGAAGACTTCAGCTGATGAGAATCATTTAAAGACTCTTCTGACAGGAAATGCTTTAGGAAGCGTGCAAGTCTAGACAGTCCCTCAGTGTGCTCAGTGGCGGGTGTGGGAGTTCATGCGTTGGTTGAGGTCACTTCCTAAGGTGAAGATCTAGGTTTTTAGAAATTACCTGTAGTCTGTGTACTGATTGTCAAACAGCCTGCAATACAAGATCCTCAACTGGTGTGCATCAGTAAGGGGACAGACATGCAGAACAAGGCTATTTTAGTATTGAAGGAGATTATTATAACTTCTCATAGGAATGTTTTAATTAGTAGGTGGCTAGAGAGGAGGTGGTGAACAAGAAAGCAGGATAGTGGATTTCATCAACAACTGCAAGGAAAATCTTGGAGATGATGGCTTTCTACACACCAGTGTTCATCTGTACTGGAACTAACAAGTCAAAGGGCTGTAGGTAGATCTAAGTGACTTTTGCCTGGAGGGTGGGGTGACTAACGGAGCTAGCTAATCATTTTATTTTCAAGAGAGAGAAATGATATTTAACCATATCAACTGATTATGCCATGAGTGTCTTGTTCTGCCATGTATGGTGCTGCTGGTAAGACGTTTGGGTTTTTTTTAATGGTTCAATGCTCTGCCACCTTTGTGCTTAATTTTTAAGTGCCATCCAAAAGAGATGTAGCAGAAGAAAATAGATTTATTAGTGGACCTCAGTGGGCAAAAGAATTCCCTACAGTTTTATGAATCTAAAGTGGACAGGGCTAGGGAATAGTAGGCTCAGACAGTCTTAACTTTAAAATATTTGACCAAGATACTGTGCTCTGAAGGTTAATATCAAGCATAGCGCCACATGAAACATATGCAAAATACTTTCTAGTGGAAAAGATCACTAGTGGTATTCAAAATACTTCTGAAAAATGCTCTATTCAACATATAACAAGAAGAAAAAATGTATAGTAAAATACGTCTAAACTACATTTAAATTAAACTGATTCTATGTGAAGTAAACCTTTAAATAAATCATTTGTGGAAATAATGGCTTTAAAGCAATTGAACTGTTGGTGTTCTTTTAAAGGAGAGTAAACTTGATTCCACTGAAGGCAGATACACCAACCTCTGCAGATACAGTTCCTATACCTCCTTCCTCAGAACAAGAACATGGTAAGCATTTGTGGTTATTAATACCCAGCAGTCTTTTGCCAGTCAGTTCTTTCTATTATAGATTTCTGTTATAAGCCTATAACACAAGCATAATCAAGCACAAACCTAAACCTAGTTGCAGATTCTAAACCTTCTTCATTGTCCTGGAGTGTTTGAAAGGTGCTTTTGATCATATGACATGTTCTCACTGTGGTTGCTCTTGGGCAGCTGCTTACGTAACAATATGTCACTACAGTTTTTATAGCAATGGGTGCAGTAGGTGACACTGAAACTGAGAAGAGTAAATTCACTTGGATGTAATGTTCTCCAAGTTCTACACGTGGGTTTTAAAGACTCTTATGTTTTTAGCACACCATAGTTTCATGTGCTGGACTCTCAAACCAGGGTTGGGTTGGTGTAGTTTTTGTGTTGGGGTTTCTTTTTTTGTTTGGTGGTGTTTGGGGTTTTTTATGGGTGTGTGTTTGTGTGGTTTTGAGGGGTTGGGGGGGCAGGGTTATTGTCATTGGGGTTTGTTTGGTTTTTTTGATTGTTTTTTTTTTGTGAATTGCTTGTGACTTCAGCAGACCAATTTACTTTCTTAATCTGATTTACTTAGCTTAGATGCTTTTCCTATCTTCCTGTTTCAGAGAGGCCATTACCGTCTGATGACAGTCTTCAAAATCCCCCAGCATCGAAACGTCCTAGAACTGAGGACATGTCTCTTTCTGCATCTCCTGAAGATCAAATTGTCTGTGATTCAAATAAATAAAGACTAAGCTTTTAGTAGACTCTTCACAGTCTGAAGGTGATGCAGCCATATCTGAGAGTGCATTTCTTTTTGCAAATGCTAAATCCCCAATTCCTGCTTAAAGTACCATATGTGTATTTGATGTAGTGCTGTGAAGAAAGAAAGTGGCAGTAGAAGACACAGGTTCAGGAAGGTAGCTCTGCAGAAGAAGAAGTATTCGGGAAGTGACTTTAAAGTGTTTCTACTTCTTGAAGACAGCATTCTTCAAGAAATGCCACAGCTTGAGGAAATCGAGAAAATATGGGTATTGATTACAATAACCTAAAAGTCTGCATCAAAGTCCTGAAGTTGGTGTTTATATAAACTGCCACATCTACCAGTAACCTGTCTGACAAAAGAATCGAGTTTCTAAGAACTTAAACACATTCATAATGATTTGCTGTGGTTTAAGGCTCCCCCAAAAATCAGTTTCATTCAGGCATCTTGACTTACATGCTTAGCGATGTGCAAAATAATTCATGCTCTCTAGCACATGTGGAGAGGAAGCTGATGTTCACAATGTCTGAATACAGCAGCATACAGTAGACTGATATGATTGAAACATTAACCAGAACTTGCAACTACAAGAAACAAGAAAGCAGGAAGAAACCCTCTAAAGACCTGTTGTAAGCATTAAACAGTGGAAGAAAGTTCTGAATTGTTTAGTTTCTGTATTTAAAAAGGAACAAAATGCAGACATGATATTTCCTTGAGGCAGCAGGATTTGATCATATACATTAGAAGTTTCCCCCTTTCATTTTTTGCAAATCTTAACTCCTTTAGTCAATAGAATACAAATCCAATTGTGTTAGACTTCTAGAAGTTGGTTTCTTTTTAGCATTTAATACTTGCACTAAGCGTTTAGCATTTAAAAATTGAACTAAGACCTGCAGGTTGAAAACAATGAGACCAAAATATTTGAAAATCACTACACTGGATTTCCTGTGGTGTGCAGACTTAGCCTTCAGAAGCAGAATGCTCATCCACAGTATTCTGAGTTCATCCAGTTAATTTTGTTTAGCATCATGGACTTGATTTTGAAATGCTAATACTTAAAATGCAGATAGTCATTCTGGTTGATGATAGCATGTGGAAGTTTTAAGCAGATTTTTTTTCTCATGATTTAGGCTATTATTTGAAGTTCCACAATGCACAGGAAGTTAAAGCTGGAATTCATTTAAAGCTCTGACTTTCATTCTTCCCTGGATTTGGTTGGTTTTAAGGTGTGCAATTTACTTAGTGTTTGTTTTCTGTCAGTTTCTAAGAAAGTGGACTAATAATTTAGAAGAACAGAGATGTTGCAGAAGTGATTCATAAAAATTTCTCAGGGAAGAAATACTATTAATAACTTACGTCAGTGTTTCAGGCAGATGAAGTATGTTGCCTGCAATTACATTTCAACAGAAATTAATAAGCAAAGAGTTGTAAGAAGCTAACTGTATCTTTGCTTTCAACCACTGAGAAGAGGATGGACCTTCATGAAACTTATCCAAACATGGATTTTCTTCTAGTGAGGAATATAGACGAAATTACCAAGAAAAGCCACATCCGAAACTCTATTTTAAAAAAAAAAAAAAAATTTATAGAGATACTGAAAGCTTATAGAAATACCTGAAAATCGATAGCTGGAACAAATAATTGTAACTAATATGCATTGTTGGACTTGCTATTTTATGTTTTGCCCAGATTGAGATTGCTATTTCATCTTTCTGTATAACAGTGACCTAATTAGTACAGTACTACAGTAGGTTTTGTGCACTGCAAAGGATCCTTTGAATTGAAATTTACACTTCTAAATACTAATTGCAAAGATATCATAATAGGTATTTTTAAATCTTTTGGGGTTTGGTTGTGGGTTTTTTGTTTGGTTGGGTTTTTTTACACATTATTTCAATGTAGATTGCTCTTTCTGGAGAAAACAAGTAGGTTAGGTATATTATTTTAGTGTTACTGGCATACCTGGTCTCTGTGGTCTTCGATCGTCAGATGCAAATAATTGCCAGCGTATTCATCTTTATTTCATGCCATAACCATTTAGGGCACATCTACATTTTTTTGTATGATTGCTCAGCTTATTTTCATTCTGCCTTAAAATCTAATTGGAGCTGTAAAGTTAATGTCTTTCCCTGCTGGAGACTGTTTTCACATCATGATCTCTGTCAGAATGCTCTACCTGGTATTTTAACTTCCCTGATAGGAATTGTTTTCCCTTTCTAGTACTAGTTGTCTCTTGCCACTATGATTTCCTACTTCTCTGTTCATTTTGTTACTTACTTGCTATTTGTCAAATTTATACAGTACTAGGTTTTGAAGCTTTTTCTATAAATGGATGCCATCTTTTGTATAATAAATTACCATCTTTAACACTGTGACAGCCAGAATTGTAGATTTCTGGGTTTTGTAATCTGTTTCAGTCTCCAAAGGGCCATCCCCACGTATCATTCATATTTAAAACATTGAAAACTATTCTCACAGTGTTTATAGAAAGTGGTTTCATGTTTTGTTCTGTCATGCACTAGATTCTGCTACAAAACAAAACATGCCCAGTCCTATTTAAGCTCTTTGCTTCATAAAGTGAAAGACAGCATAGACATCATTCTTCCAAGGGTACTCTTCAGTCCAGGTTTGACATATATGTCATTTTTAATTGGCCATGTGTATTGTTTGTACTTTAAGTGGACCCTGAGTTCATATTCCAGCTGTGAATGTGGCATGTCATCTTTTTGGGTCACATTTTGCTCAGTGCCTTCTGTAAGGATCTTAATAACTCTTGAGGACTGCTGTCCTGCTTGTACTATTCTGATGAGATAGCATTATTGAAAAATTCCATGTCCACATCTTTCGACCTTGCAGGAGTACAAGGAGGGAGCTGAACTCATAGAATTAACTTCCGTAAGAGGCAGCAAATTACTGCTAAACTCAGGGAACCATGGAACTCTTTGGGGTGTCCAAGCCCTGCTCCTGCCAGCACATTTGGTTCTCTGTGTGTCAGTGTCCCAGAGGCCAGGGGAAACCAAAAAAGGAGCAGAGTCACACAGTCATTTCCTCTGGCTGATGGAGGGGACTGCTTCAGCAGGGGGATTGAACCAGATGACCTCCAGAGGTCCCATCCAACCACCTGTGATTCTGTGAATGCTGCCATTTCCAGTTTGGCATAGCTTGAACAAGCAAGTAATCTGACGTTTAAGATGGAGAAGTCACTTATTGGTCATGGGAGTCCATAGAGATACGTGGTCTTCGTGTGCCATTTCTTCCCATCTTCCTTAGAATCATGGATTTTGCATAGATGCATGAAATGTAGTGAAAGATGAGGAGTAAACACATCCACTATGGCTACTGCATAAATAGTCTTCTGCATTGTCTGATAGTGTAAATATCTGTGTGGACTATATGTCTCAAAGAGTTCATGTTAAGGGCAAGTGATCCTTTTCCTCTTTCAGAGTGGTTTTCTTGCATGTCTTACGTGTACTTCTCTGGCTTGATCACAGATCATTTAAAAGGTCATCTTTATGTTCCACGTCTGCATACTTTCTTATTTAAGTATGTGTCTGTATGTATGTGTAATCACTTTTCCATGTCAGAAAAACGGTTTGTTCCTTGCCTTCAACCATCTGCCTTTTTTCATAAGGCAAATGAAGGACTGAAAAAGCCCAGGCTGCTGGCACACAAAGCATAAGACTTCTGTGTAAAAACAAAGTGCAGAGCGACCGCTGGATGTCACTCCTCTAGCAGAATTCCTCCTTCTGGGCCTATGGGGGAAAAATGCCAGCAGTAAGGAGGAGAAAGAAAACACGGTTTTCTTTTAAAGAAAAAACAAGCTGGAGGTAAATCTATGTAACAAATGTACCTTATCAGCAAATAAAATGGATTGTTCCTACAAGCTTCCTTCTAAGAAGTCAGGGCTCACTTTCTGATGAATTACATTTCATAACTGACTAAGGATAGTAAGTCCATATGGTGATAGCGTTTCTCTGTCAGGAACTGTAAAATGCTAACCTGGAATGCCACATGCAGCCCCAAACTTTCCAAGAATGTCTTAAGCATCATTTCTGTTGAAAACCACTTTCAAGAGGTAATGGGAACGATCTGGAAGGCAGATGGAGCATCTGGTTGGTGTATGCTCTGACCAGCTTTCATCTGTTCTGCCATAAGTTGCCAAGTTGTGGTACACAGATTGCTACAGGTACAACAAGTATTTCAACATCCAAGACCTGCTGATGCCACCACTGTTGCCATAGCACCTACTGCTCTGGGTGGAAGCAAGAGAAAAATGTTTCCGTGCCCCACCTATAAGCCAAAACTGGTTAATCACGTGTGTACGTGTAACAGTACCATCTTACGTGTCCTAATCTCTTTTAAAAGGTTGCACTGCCATGTTATTTGTTGTCCAGCCCCTTAAAAGGAAATGAAAAATACGAGGGCAGAGTCACACAAGGCTGCTGGAGCCTAAGAGAGAGTGGCCATGGAGGGCGACAGATGTAGTAAAGGCAATATGCAAGCAATCCTCACACATGGAATGTGTTCTGTGTGTAAGAGCAAGAAGACATACAACTTATTTATGTATAATTTTTTGTTGCTGCCTAGAATAATGCTGATACCACACCAATGTTTTAGCTGCTGCTCAGTAGCACTTACCCTGATCAAGGACTTTCTCAGTCTCTTGCTCTGCCAGGAAGGAGGGACACAAGAAGCCGGGAGGAAGCAGAGACAGGGCACCTGACCCAAACTGGCCAAAGGGGTATTCCATACCACAGCACGTCATGCCCAGTATAGAAACTGGGGGGAGTTACTGGGATGGGACTGATCACTGCTTGGGTAGGGCTGGGTATCGGTCAGAGGGTGGTGAGCAATTGTATTGTGCATCACTTGGGTTTATTGGTTTTGGGGTTTTTTTTCCTTTCCCTTTTAGTTTTATATTCTCTCCCCTTGTTATTTCCCTTATTATTATCAGTAGTAGTATTATACTGTACTTTAGTTATTAA